AATGGTTCGGATGTGCCTAAGGCTCTTGGGCCACATGTCTGCTTGCACACATGTGGTCCAGTTTGCAAGGTTGTGTCTTTGCCCCCTTTAAATGTAGCTCAGGACAGTTCACTGTCTGACCCTTCATTCTCTGAGCATATTGGTCTGCCTCCTTCCACTGGTCCTGGACTCCTCGCATGCTAATGGAAAATGTTTATCAGGGTGTTCTCTTCATCCAGGGCTTACCAACCAGGTCTGTTGTCACCAATGCCTCCCTGATGGGTAAGGGAGCATATCTGAGGTCACTGAAAGTTCAAGGTCTGTGGTTGGAGCAGGAATCGTCACTGCATATCAATGTGCTGGAGAGGGTGGGCTAAAGAGTGAAAAAAACAGGATATTGAACACATGAGGCTCCCAGTGGTCTGCACAGGAAGGAGAGAAGACTTGAAGAAAAAGCAAGCAGTGGCTATCCTGGAAGGAAGAGTGAGTGAAGTTTCAGCCTTCATTAAGGCTGCTTGCATATCTGTAGCAGCACTCTACTTAAAAATGAGGTTGAAGCCAAAGAGAAATGTATAGGTCTGGATACATATTTCAATTTAAGCCACTCTGATGTGTCCTTTACCAGCAGACATTGGTTTGCAAGGTGGTGAGGAGCTCTGTGTATCACCAAAGTAGGGAAAGAAGTCTACATAAAATCCATACTTATAAAATTAGAGGACACCTTACTTCTAACCTCAGTGTGTCTGAAGGGAAATACAACTCTTAGAGCTGGAGGGGTGGGATGTTAAGAGGGGTCTTTGGAATGGGAGCGGAGAGACAGACTCCCCCCTACAGCATCAGAGGGAGGAGTTGTAGATCCTAATGATCCAAAAAAGATGGAGGTTTACAGCTTCCTGCTCTGAAAAGACCTATGCCAGCCTTGAAGAAAGCACCAGCTACTTGTAGTAGTCAACTGAGCTGCAGAAATCCAGAGAGAACCTTTAAGGAGCCATGCCAGCCCCAGAGGAAAGAGCTCAGATGTCAGTTTGGGGACACAGCCACGTGCCAGAAATCCAGAATGAGCCTGTGGAAAACTAGAAACTGGCTGAGAGCCTGAGCCTAGGTAGGGGGGGGGTCCAATTTGCTAAACACCAGCCAGGCAGAGGGAAGCTTTGTGAGAGAACAACTGAGTTCTGATGCAAAAACTAATATTGTGGGTGTTTCGTTTTATATAGTGGTGGGCAGGCTTAATAATAAATATAATAAAATCTGTCAATTTAATGTATTGTACATTAAGCTAGATCTTTGAATCTGTATTCAGAATTCTTAGACTAATTTCTGGTGTTCTGCTAAGGATTAAATGATGTACAGTTGCACCTGCGGATTCAAGGAAAACATGAAAAACAAGTTGCTGTGTAAATGTCTGTAAAATGTAATAGAAAGTAAATAATTGTGCAAGAGAACATTTTTGGTAACTTTGTGTTTATAATAAACCAGTGGTTTTCAAACTTTTGTACTGGTGATCCCTTTCACACAGCAAGCCTCTGAGTGCGACACTTTTTTTCTATTTAGCACTATTATAAATGCTGGAGGCAAAGTGGGGTTTGTATGTAATAATCTCGTGACCCCCGAGGGGTCATGAACCCCCAGTTTGAGAACCCCTGTAATAAACATTGTCATTGGAGATATCCAGTTTGTGTAGTTTTTTCAGACGAGCAGGACAATCATGAGGGGATGATATTGCCTAATCCATTGATTGCAGTATTGATGACGGGCTACCAATGATGCTATTGCTGACTAACCGCAGTGCACGAACGTTCACAGTTCAGTCTATGGCCAAGAGTTCAATAACTGAAATAAAACAGAAGACAAAACTTCAACATGGCTGCCAGTTCTAAAAACCAGTCTGTATAAACCAGGGGTGGGGAACCTCTGGCCTGCCAGCTGGATCCGGTCTACTGCTTAATTTAATCCGGTCAGTGACGAGTCTCCATGCCGCAGGCCGGAAGCCCCGAGCCTCGGCGCCCCTGCCCGCAGTGTCCAGGCAGAGGGGCGATCAGGAAGCTCCATGTGCTGACCCCAGCGCTGGCTCGGCAGCTCCCATTGGCTGGGAACCACAGCCAATGGAAGCTGTGGGGGCAGCGCCTGTGGGCATGGGCAGCACACACTGCGCAGAGCCCCCTGGCTGTGACTCCGCCTAGGGGCCGGACATGCCGGCTGCTTCCAAGTGCAGCGTGGAGCTGCTGCACTGCCAACTGGAAGCTGGCCAGAGCCTGAATCCCCTGTTGCACCCAAACTCCCTCCCAGACCCCGCACCCCCACCCGCATCTCAACCCCCTGCCCTAGCCCTGAGCCCCCTCCCACACTCCAGATCCCTTGGTCACAGTCCGGAGCCCCCTCCTGTACCCGAAACTCCTCATCCCCAGCCAGCCCAGAGCCTGCACCCCCAGCTGGAACCCTCACCCACTTCCGCATCCCAACCCCCTGCTCCAGGCTGGAGCCCCTTCCCACACCCTGAACTCCTCATTTCTGGCCCTATCCCAGAGCCAAGGGGAATCCCTGAGCCGCCTCCCCCCCCCCCCCGCCAGGGCTAGAGCCAGGAGCACTGGCTCGCTACGCTTAGGAGAAGCCCCGAGCCTCCACACCTCCCTGCGGGGCTGTTTGTGGCCTGTGATTGATTTTTTGTGTGTGTCAATGGCCCCTGATAGAAAAAAGGTTCCCCACCCCTGGTCTAAACCTTTAAAAGGATAGTATTAGCAGTACTGGCCAAATCGGTAGTACATTTGTTTTCTTACTGTCTCTGGTAATTCAGCATAAAATTACCTGTATCTTGAATTGGGGTAATATAGAAGGAAAAATTTTTTATATTAAATTGTTTGTTGTGAGCTAATTTTCCTTTAGGCTGAGGTTTTATTCTACCTCCATTCCTAAAATTCTCTCCAATACTAGAGTCTCAGATTGTTGTATATTTTCAGAAAATAGCATTAGTTTCTTTTATCTACAAATGATCTTTCACTGGATATAGAGATTTTTTTTTTGTTAAGAGCATTATTTTCTCATGTGACTGTTGCCACACGTCCCCTTTCTGCTGCTTCATATTCTCTTCATGAAATAAATTGCACAATATTAAGTATTAGTTGTGAACGATTTTAGCTTTAATTTACCTCAGTTTTGATCTATGCTCACAAATGAAGGAAACCTAATGCCAACTTCAGACTGTGAGGAAAGGAGTTTATAGATAAATCCAGCTATTCAGGTAAATGATCTGCAGGTGAATGAAACTGCAGACTTCCTCAATGGCCAGTGAAAGCGCTCTTCCTTATAGCTACCTGTGTAGTTTTCAGTTTATGTTGCCTTATTTTGTTTACTTACTGTAAACATGGTCCCCTGAGGAAAAGACCTTTCTTGGCTCCCTCATTTTCCTTCTGAGTCATCCCATCAATTTACAGCTACTATAGCTGTGATCATTTGGGAAATGCTGACCATGCAGAGATAATATCTTGAGGATATTAGTCAAGGCCTTTGCTATCAAAGGCTAGTGCTTCTGGAATATTCTCCCATGGGACAGTCATTGATGAACATCACTGGTATCTTTCAGGGCAACACTGAAAAGTTTTATGTCATTTGTGTGTTTTGTTGCTTAGGAAAAGGATTGGTTTTGGGATATTTTTCTGTTTTCCTTCTTTAAATGGAGCTGTGTGTTTAATATTTAGTTATAAATGTAGCCAAATAACTTCATTGATGCCAGTTCCCAGAAGACAATTTGATTTGATTTTACTATCTGTCTAAAACTAAGATTTTTTTTTGATGCAGACACTTTGATAGCTATTGTTTATTGAGCCACTAGGTGGCACCATTACACCATTTATGTTCTCATTTAAACTGTGAAGAGGTGATGGACAAGATGACTGTTGCTTCTCTTTCCTGTTTTTAGATACATCAACTTAAAGATTGTAGCCAATTTCACTGTAGAAGCAAAATGTGCGCTGTACTATTTTAGTTCTCGTCTTTTCTTGCGACTTGTATCCACTTAAGCCATGCTTATTTGGATCATTGGCCATATAGTATTTCATATTGATTGATTAACTCATATAAATACATTTTTCTAGCCCTTTGAACAGCAGTCTAAAAATCAGTGAAGAATTTGCAAAGCCTGGTGATGTATGAAGTGTCATTTGATTCTGTTGCTAAGTGTTAAGGCAAAATATTTGCATATTTGGTTGGAAAGGCAGCCTCGTCTAGATCAAATGTAGGACAGGGGGCCAGAAGTTCATGGATTCTAGTTGTGGAGCTAGGGTCATGTTCACAGATTGCACTAAACACCAAACCCGTTCTGGTTTGTACTGGGGTCCAGGTACTAGTTGATTCTTCTGCACAAGTCGTCTTCTTGATGTGCATACTCTTTATTAAAAGTACTTACATGGTCCTGGATATAGAGTATATGACTATAGAATATGACAGTCTCACAATCTTTAACATATTTATCCTCACTCCTCCAGCATAGGACATGCTACTATTCTCGTTTTACAGATGTGGAACTGAGGCACAAAGGCTTGCACAAGGTCACACAAGAAGTCTCTGGCGGAGCAGCACATCGAATCCCGCTCTAGTGATTCCCAGCCTAGCATCCTAACCACTGGACCATCCTTCCTCACTACTGATGAAATACGCGGAAGCTGGTTTCAGAGTAGCAGCTGTGTTAGTCTGTATTCGCAAAAAGAACAGGAATACTTTCGTGGGCTACAACTTATGCTCAAATAAATTTGTTAGTCTCTAAGGTGCCACAAGTACTCCTGTTCTTTATGTTGAAGCTGTATACTGAATCTGTTTGTGGTGTGTCTTTCCTATGGATTAACAAAGTTTTTAAAGTCTCTCAAAGGCTGTCAGTCTGGTGTCTTTCACACAAGAGGAATTCACTTTTTAGAACTTATTTTAAAAAGGCTAGAATTAGAGTTCACCTAAACAGCTGTTTGCCCCTAAAAGTTTGCTCAATACATTCCCTTAAGAGTTGTCTAACTTTTTTTTCTTTTTATCTCTTCTAGAACACTTTAAGTGGGATAATTACTTGAAAGAGACTGGATCGTTAGCCGCTCCTCCACATTGTTTCAGACAGGTACACGGAATTATTTTATGTAAATGTGGTTGTCTTCTGTGTGTGTGTGTGTGTGTGTGTGTGTGTGTGTGTGTGTGGGGGAGTGTGTTTTAAGGGGACCAATAGCAAGCCTTATATTATGGGTGCCCATGGCTTCCCTTTGTAACCTCCTGTTCTCATTTGCTTATAACTTTGGCAAACCTTAACCATTTAAGCTGAAGTTTTCTGTGCTTGGTCTCTGCCTCAAGTCAAATTTTCTTTGAAAGGTTGGTCAAAAATATTGCAGCTGTCCTTCAAGAACAAGGTTAGTGGGAAAAATAGGAAATCTTGTCAGCGTTTAAAATTTTTACAGTTCTTTTTGAACAGCTTTAGCCTGTCTCTCCATGGTTTAGAGCAAGAATTTAAAATGTGGCTGAGGGTCAGAATAGTGCCTTTTGCCACCCTTTGCCCAAATTCCTCATTTGCCCATCTATAGTAGAACTTATTTAGCACTTGTCCCTTAATTTTCTGACCCTCCCAACTGCACTGTGCCGGCTCCCAGCACTCTGAGTCTCCAGCATCATTCTGAAGTACCCATACAGAATTGAACCTCTGAACAGGACACAAACAGTATGGTGGCAGCTGCAGCTTTCCCCCCAACAGAATTAACAAGCGTTAGTATAAGAACATATCAACCAATATAAATTATTAAAATAACTGTGAAATCATTTGGTATGTTTTTGTACCCTTAAGAATTTTCTCTTGAGAAATTTAATTAAAATTGCATTACAGGAAGTTTGAGAATTTTGTTATGCATATTTCAATTAAACATTGCCACAACACACAGGTATACCTGTTCTGATTACTGGAAAGTGTCATGCCAATCTTGTATTTTGGAAATTAAACCCATATTGAAGTGTCATAAAACGTAATCAATAAAACATATCATGGAGTTGTCTCTTGCATTTTTTGTTGGGGAGAAGATAATTTTATCCATCCTTCCAATGTTGAAGTTTCAGAAATGTTTCCAGGCAATAAGCAAATATTTCCAGTGAGAGAACTCAGGCTTTAGTGTATTCTGTTTTTTGCTGTGTTTATTTTTTTGGAGTTCAATGGTGTCTTAATGCTCTTGCTCATCTGTCAGCTTAAGCCCAGCCTGTGAGGCCACTGAAGTCCAAGGCATGCCATTCTCATTTCCCTCTTTCTTCTTCCAGACAGCTTGTTCACAGCCCAGAGTATTTAAAGTAAGTAAATCGATATTAAGCCTTGATACAGTATCCTATGGCCTCTCAGGACCAAACACTTACCTCTGGTTAAGGATTTCACAACTGTCCTTCCTGTGGCTATGCCATGGCTCAAACCAGCTTCTCCAGCTCACCAGTAGTCAGGTTCTTTTCCAGCTTCATAGTCTCTCTTGGCTCTCTCAAGGCTTCTGTTTTTATCTCCATATCAGAAGGCCTGATTTTAGCTGCATGACCTGCTTGTCCTGTGACTTTGTTTATTTTCTTCACTTGGGGAGGTGAGCTTGGTGTCACAGGTGGGGTTGGACGCATCAGCCCTTAAAGGGCCAGTCACTCTGTGACAGCTTCCACTCCCGCAAACCAGAACACATGTTTTAGAAGGAATTTTCCTGCTGCTCGCTCACTTGTGCTGTTGAGTGATAATACGGTCTTTTCACTAACTCAGATTGCTTTTGGTGTACCATATTTTTGTGTTCACGGGCACCATTTCAGATTTTGGTGGGGGGATAGGGCAACTGTGACTCCAGGGGTTACTTAGGAACCTGAGAACTCTAGCTTTTTTGCAGATAATTTAGAAATTAGCTGACAAGAGCACTGTATCTAATTCCCATATAAAGAAAGAAAATTAAAAAAATGTTAGACCCACAGAGCTTAAATACTAACATGTTATGACATCCTGTGTCAAGTCACTTAAGGGACATTGGTTAGGTTTAAAATTTCAATGTATATTCTTACTTTACTAATTCTTGAATACAACAATTGAAACAACTGTAGAAAAATCTAGATTACTTTCTATCATTTAGGTTACTTACTTTTTGAAGTTCACCAAGCTTGGACTTTTGAACATTTAACTTTTGGAAATATCCTACTAGGGCAAAACCCCGTGAGTTTATACTGCACCTGCCTAGGGCTCTAGTGATGTTACCCTACTACAAATAATAATAGGGTAGAAACTGACTTTTTAAACAGGAGTGAAACTGACACTTTCAAGTCACTTTCCAAAAGGGTCACTACAGTGATTTGAATTGCAGTTCTCACAGGAGAATATTTAAAATCAAATGCCAAGAAAATTCCACATTTTAAAGTTGAGAAAAAAATTAAGTCTTGTTTATTATTTAGAATTTGTTTATATGTTTTTGAAAGTACTATTCTGTGTTTGGACACTGCCTCAGTTCCCATTGCTGTAAAATGGGAATAATAATACTTTCCTGCCTTCTATAGGAATTATAAGGATTAGATAGAGGTCTGTAGGGCAGAAACTGGGCCTTCTTAATGGTTTGTGCTTAGCACAATGGGGAAATCTACTGAATAAGGTCTTTGGGTGCTACTATAACATTAGTCAGCTGTTGAGATGCCCACTGGTAGTAGTTAAAGGGGACTTACCTAGGGGGTGGGATGTTGATGGAGTACAGGTCAATCTCGGTGTTGGCCGGCAGCACAGCCATCATCCCCCTGTGCTCAACACCTGCTGGCAGGGTTTGCAGCACAACACAGACACACAGCTGTCCTTGAAGTTGCAACCACTAATGGACGTGACAGCTCAGGACCAAAAGGGTCTGTCCCTGGTCTCTTTCCAGAGAGAGCTGAGGGTGCTCCATGCTTCTCTGAGGGCAAATGGGACCCAAGACCCACTTAGCTGCTCCTAGCCCCCCCCACACACACCTTTCTTCAGCTCCCCCTCCCTCAGCTGCTCCTTCCACACTCACTGACCCCTCCCTCAGGGCACAGCCCTATGTCCTCACTTCTCCCTTCCCCTGGAGATTGACTCCCCTTTCCCATCCCACTGCCTCCCCTCTGCCAGTGGGGGCCCTGTCCTTCCCACCACCACCACAGGGGACCCTATGCTTCCCCACCTTCACAACAGGGTATCCTATGCTCTCCCACCACCACTGTGGACTCCCGTGCTCCCCTCCACCTTGACTGACCCCTTCCTTGCCTGCCCTACCCCCAGAAGCCATGCTCACTGCCCTGCTACTGTTGGTTAGGAGGATTGTCACTCCGTATAATATCAGCTGCTGATTGGTGGAGGCAGATGAGGCGGTGGGGTGGGTGAGCTAGCATAGTGGAAGAAACTGACCAGGAGAATACTGGCTCCTGGAGGAGGGGACCTGGCTTCATGGGGCTACAGCTAAGAGCTCCACCTGGGACTGGGATGTGTGCTTTGAGCAGATCTCTTGTACGAAACTTGGGGGAGCGGTGCCCCCCACTCTCCCTAAATGGTGCCCCTGCCTACGTTGCCTGTGTGTGCATCTGCACAGCCCTGTAATGGTAGAGTGTACTATTTTGGTATACCTAAATAACTCTGTTCCTGATTTGGAAGTTCAACAGAAACTCTTTCAGAGAGAGCTGTTAGATTGTGCAGTAATCACATTTGTTCATTTGGTATCAACCAATATCCAATCCACCAGCCCCACAGAAATCTAATGCCGTCAGCTCCTACAAATGGTTAGCTGAGTTTTGGTTGTGTCTGTAAGTAAGATGGTTAACCCTTGAACAAAGCAAAGGTTTGGAAATTTGGCTGGCTCACTTCACAGAAATGGTGTTTACACTTGGATCAAATAATTTTCCTTAGAAAGTATGTATAACTTGACTATAGGTTATCTAATATACGCTGAGGGCCAAAGATTTTTTTTGTATCAATAGTAATATAAAGGCTGAAGGCTCAGGTTTCTACTGGGTTAGCTAGGAATTGGAGGAGTCCCTCTGGAAGGGTATGGCAATGCAAAGAACCTATGCCTTATTATTAAAATGAAATGTATTATATATTTTGGGAGGTCTCTTGTGGCCAAAATCAAAGTAGGGTAACGTTTGTGCAGTGTTCTGAAAATCTAAAAGCTGTTACATTGGTCAGATGTCTAAGTAATGGTTTCAGAATTTGCTAAATGCTACTTCAGTCATTTAGACTTAAGTGCCCCAAAACTTAGCTGGTGCAGAGTTAAGGTTCCCCTGTAGTGCTGTGTGCCTTTACAGAACGTGGAGAAGGGACTATATTTAAACTTCTGAAAACCAGGAAATAAAAAGATAATTGTTGGATTTGGGGGCTTGGGGGGGATTGGAACAGAAGCCTCTCACTATATAGCTCTCACCTCTTTCTCTCCAACCCTCTCTGCTGTGCACTGTTCCAATAGCACCCTCAGTGCACCCATTTCCCATGCCATAGTCCGCCAACTACTCAGATTCCACTACCACTGCTCCAACTCCAACTTTCATTCATCATGCCAATTGCTCCACACTCCCTAGACACACATTCCAGTGCTTGAAACCTGCCCCCTCACATTCCTGCTGCTTTGAGTCCCTCCCCAATCCACACTCCAGTTCCATCCTCCTCTTTGCCACTCCATGCTCCTGGAAAGCTTGGAGGGACAATAGTAGGGAAAGTGGTGGGACTCTGAGAAATGCATGTACTAGCTGGAGGCAGGAAAGGGCAGAGTTCAGAGACACTGTCCAAAATCTGGGCCTACTGTAGGGAGAATGGGCTCTGCACATCCATCTGCCTCACAGAAGTGTGAAATGGCCATTCATCTTAATGAGATGTTCTGAATGAGAACACCCTCTGGAGATGAATAGGATCTGAAACAATAGCTCTGACATATGTGAACAGCTCAATGTCAGTAGGTCTGCTCAAATCCCCCAGTCTCTCCCCCCCGCCCCCCATAGTGCTTGTGAGTGTATGCCATGTATGAAGCACGCCTGTTCTCAGCTCCTCACCCCATCTCAGCACTGTGTGCTTGGTGCATGCTCTGAGCATGGCTGTTCTCAGCTCCCCTCCAGAGAGCGGGGTCCCCAGATCCCAGCTCACAT